AGAAACGCCAACTGACATAGCCGAGGCTCGAACCAGAGACCTTCTTTCTGTGAGGCGACTGCACTACCTACTGCGCCACTGTGTCGCCCTGCTTTCTTATTGTTACAAAAGTAAAATAAAGTAAATTTTGAAGTTCCATTATGTACATGTACAAATCAATGTACATTAAAAGTGGCAACATAAATAGTTTTACTTATATTAAAATTTAAATATTAAATTATCCCATGTTTTCTGACATTTTAAATCAACAGTGTATATGGGGTTGTGTACAATAAAATATTTGTGGAAATCTGGTTTATTGGTCCAAAAATCAAGCTGTGGCCCTGCCTTCCACCAGTGCCCAATGGTGGGTTTATAGGAGGATTTTCCCACATCGCACCTTGAGACCATGCCCAGTCAGGTCCTGTGGGGAAAGCCCTAGCCACCAGGCTGGCCGTATTTTACTCATAAGGGGTTTCTGAACTCTGTTTTGTCTGGCTTAGCACCTAGAAACTTTTTGCCTAAGGAGATTCTTCACTTCCTTCACAGCGTGGCAAGAAGTAATAAACTCTGTCAACCAGGAGCAGCTCGGAGTAGTTCTTGGAATGCCTTGGGATCCTTGCTGAGATTGCTGAAACCATGACCCGGCCCCGGATAGGTGTTTAATAAATGGATGGTTGGTTTATTGTTTGCTATTCACAAAAATGTTTCACTCTAGGCAAAATGTAAAGTATTATAATCAAACATCAACACATGTAGTGCTGTTCTTTATCTGCAAAACTCTGCTTTTCACTCATTTGCTCTTTGCCCTTAATGCCATTGTATTGTTTACAAATTTTATTGCTTACGTATATTTTTATACTACATTTTATGTATAATTTTAGACCACATTTTATGTGCAATTGTATATATTGTAAATTTTCTTTTTTTTTCACATTTTTATATTAACATTATATGTTAGGCACCTTAGGTCTGAGAGTAACATAATTTCGATTCTCTATTTGTCCTTTACATGTGGCTGAATTGACAATAAAGCTGACTTTGACTTGACTTTGACTTTAAAATAAAGTAGGTTAGCAAACACTGTTAAAACCCAAATCCAGAGAACCAGTATCTTAAACTTTTTAAACCATACTATAAGCAGCTAATTAAAAAAGTATATGAAAAACAGCCTATAAATCATACACAACTATTCTGTTAGGAGTAGAAGGTACAGTTTGTACCATATAAAAACAATTAAGTCTATGGGAACTCCCAATGAAACACCCAACATTTTTGTGTGTGTGTGAAAGAAAAAGTCAAAATATAATAAATAATGTGGTTTTAAGGACCAGCAGACAGCTTTAAATGAAATCAAGGTGTTTATTAAAACATGAATCAAACACACATTAATCATGATTTGAGCTGCACAGAGAAATACAAATAGGCTGTAATGTACCATTCCTCTTTAAACGGACACATGTGCATTGAAGTTTTGAATGAAACTCTTCTATTTCTCTTCTAGGACAAGATCATTGGATTAGTTTACAGAATATGTGGCACATGTCTGGACCTGTATTTAACAGACTACCCTGATGCTGATTGTCATGATCACTTCCACGATCTTTAAAGTCTTCAAACAGACGTGATTTCTTTTGTATAATTAGAGACGTTACATAATGAAAATTAGTCATGGTTTTACTATACATATATACTGTAGTTAAACCATTGTAACTGTAGTAAAATGTAGTTATATAAATTGTATTCAATCTGCCAGGGAAAAAACAAACTATTACTTTTACTATAATATTTTTTTACCATATTTTACTAGAATATTTTTTGTAAGGGTACGTGACCAGCCGTGAGAATTAGCAGCACAATCATGGTCATTAAGGCAGAATATTTGAGCTTACTTCATACAAAAACAAATAAAATCTTCCTGTGACTGTTATTGTTGTTTTCATCAACACAAATTAGTACAATTTCACTACAATAAAACTCCCACAAATGCAATATTCGTTTATGAGCATAGAAAAGATGGCATGTCATGACATCCCTTACAAATATGAACCAGTTTTGCTATAAAAGAAAAAGCCACGGTTATTGTAGTTAAACTATGATAACCACAAATAAACCATGTTTTTGCAACACTAACCATAGTTTAATCATGATATGGTCACAAAACCATGGTCACTAAACTTTTACTCTAATAAACCCTGGTTCATTTTCTTTTACAAGGGATGTCTTCACTCCTGAATGAATGACTGACTGCTTCGTAATTCACATGCGTGGGGATTTATTTGCACAAACATATCTATTGTATGTTTACGATTACTCTAATGATTTTTTTTATATAATATTAAAGATATACTTCTTAAACTAGTTACGCAATTGGCAAATGAATCCATAGACACTACTTTTCTATGACTATCCTAAATTATATATTTTTTCCTGGCAGTATTTAAAGTTCTCCAGTTAAAAGGCTAAAAAAATACTTCACACAAGTACTAGAAAGCAGACACTATTGTACATGCTGTACTCCAACATTTTGTGTGATGTTGTTTTAGGTGTCCCAGTGAGTTCAATTCATGGCTGCATCTGAAAACCTAGGTAGCTGATTAGTTGCCTATAGCTGTCATAGCAGGCAGTGACTCTGGTGGGCAGTGTTTGTCTATCAAGTCACCTCCTAAAATTGAGGTTAATGATTTAATCATGTACAACTAAACAGAGAGAGCTTTGGTGATATCTAAGGGAATTGCTTACTACAATGGTAACTTCTCACTACAAAAGTGTAAACCATTGATGGAAATCTTACAAACTGACACCCAAGTAACCATTTGTGACACCAGCTTTTTTTTTTTTTTTTTTTTTGGCTCTACAGTCTGAAGACAGGAAGTAAAGCAAATGTGCCTTGATGTCTTCCCGCCTTGAAATGCTGCCTCAGAAGACAGCATTTTAGAGCTTTCAGACAGCCCATAACTCAAAACACAGACTATAAAAAATTGCAATACATGTCTGAGTTATGGTTAGTTTGCTTTTTGGTTTAAGCATTGTGTATTGATTATAATCTCACTAAGCAAGCTATTTAAAAAGCAATCTCTGCATATATGAATCAAATAAGATTCCGTTTGAAGTGAATTATCTTTTACAGTTTTTCTCAGTCGCTTTGGTGCATTTCTCACAACACTATTTACATTTGCACAACAGGTAATGCATTTCTCAAAACAATTAGTCATTTGTGCACATCATGGTAGCAGTTTCTCATTCCTTCCAACACATTGCAAATGCTTTTGGACATGCATCAATTGTTTTCATACAACTCTCTGCTGTTTAGAACATTATCATTTGCGTATGTCATGTCAGTCAAAATTAACTGAACTTGTTAATGCTGAATAGTCATTCCATATAAAACTAATAGTCCTCATTTCATTACTTGAGTCATTACATACAAAAATGATGAACTAATTGTCAAAATCTGTCTAGAAAATTTTATTTTAAAAAATTGTAAATCTTTATTTTCCTGAAAATGTTTTAAAAAGTGAACAATTTGATGAATGATTTACAGACCTGTGTATGTTGTAGGTTCATTTCCAATATGTACTGCAATATTGTCTTCAGTTGTGCACAGCTCTACCCAAAGGAAGTTTATGTTTGTTGTAAATAAGGGTGTATTTATTCTTTTGCACAATGCTGTGAATAAATTAGAATTGTAAAGAGCAAATGCAGTAAAAATGTGAAACATACATATTCAGTGTCTTGTACTGAGATACCTTACTAAAGCAGTGATGTCTAACTTTACTGTAGTGTTCAAATGGCTGTGCAAATAGTATATAGTGCTGTCTTGAGCATTTTCAGCAAGTGTCACCAAAATCGGACTTTTTTTGCATTGAAATAATGTACAGAGTAAAGTGTCATCATGAAAACATGACTAAGCCATTTGACTATCTTGTTCATGAACAATGGTGTCAGGAATGGTGTTGAGGAATGAACTATCTATTTTGAGCAAGTGACGCGCTTTTGAAGGTTATTAGCTAGGTTTTGCAGTTTGCACTAATTGTTTTGCAGTTTGCACTAACTGTTGTGCAAATGTAAATAGTGTTGTGAGAAATGCAACAAAGCATCTGAGAAAAACTGTAATGTAAATGTATCGCCCCCTTAAGGCATTGTATTTAATCTCTAAAACAATTGACAGCAATTTATAACTATTTAGCATTATGCCAAATCCGTCGCTATGAATTAACAGTCTCACTTGCAAATTAGATTCATTTTGATTCTTAAAAAAAAATTCATTGTATAAATAAATACAGTACACAGTTTTCACTTCATAAATAGCTTTTAACTCTTACTAACTCTAGAGCACTAGAGTACTAACTCTTGAGTTTGTACTTTTCGTTCATTTATTCATTTTCTTTTCGGCTTAGTCCATTTATTAATCCGGGGTCGCCACAGAGGAATGAACCGCCAACTTATCCAGCATGTTTTTACGCAGCGGATGCCCATCCAGCCGCAACCCATCACTGGGAAACATCCAAACACACTCATTCACACTCATACACTACAAACAATTTAGCCTACCCAATTCACCTGTACCACATGTCTTTGGACTGTGGGGGAAACAGGAGCACCCGGAGGAAACCCACCCAAACTCCACACAGACACGTCAACTGACCCAGCTGAGGCTCGAACCAGCAACCTTCTTGTTGTGAGGCGACAGCACTACCTCCTGCACCACTGCATCGCCCAGAGTTCGTACTTATTTTAAAAAAATAATTATAATTTGTGTGATATGAATACATTTATCATAAGCATTAATTGTGTTGCTGTTTTTACTTCAATTCATTCATTCATTTTCCTTCAGCTTAATCCCTTTATTCATCAGGGGTCGCCACAGCAGAAAGAACTGCTTATCCAGCATGTTATACACAGCGGATGCCCTTCCAGCTGCAACCCAGTACTCGGAAACACCCATAAACACGCATTCACACACATAAACTCTACAGCCAATTTAGTTTATTCAATTTACCTTTACTGAATGTCTTTAGACTGTGGGGGAAACCAGAGCACCTGGAGGAAACCCACGCAAACACAGGGAGAACATGCAAACTCCACGCAGAAATGCCAACTGACCCAGCCGGAACTCGAACCATTGACCTTCTTGCTGTAAGGCGACAGTGCTAACCACCGAGCTATGTCACATACTTCCATTTAAACATACTTTTTTGGTTACATTATTATTATTCCTTCAACTAATATGTAGTAAAGATTGTTAAGATTTGGAATGAATTTGAAGAATTGTGATGTATTAAGGGTTGTGCAGGTTAACATGTAAATGTCTGCGTATTTGTACTTGCCTAAAGTATTTTTTTGCCCTAACACTTTATTAAGTGATTTTTTTTCTGTTTGTTGTCATATAACAGTAACATTATATAGCTTATTATTTGCCTTTTAGAATTTAGCAATTAAAGCATTTAGCAATTTAAACAAAAGACTGAAACTACTTATACATACAAACTACTTTTACAAGACTTTTTTTTAAAATAAAAGATGAGTTACAGCATCTTTTAGATGTGCGTAGGTTTTTTAACATTCACCTTTAAGTTTCAATTAAAGTATGTAAGTGCTGTTGTTGGTTGTCACCTGCATTTGGATGGATGTCTAAATATATAAAATGTCACTAATGCTGGGCTCACACCAAACACACTTTTAGTTTTTCTACCTCAAGCTAATTATCTGCTCAAGCTGAATTATTTTACCTTTTGCCGAACACTGAGGCAAATTCTGCACACTCATAATTAGCGCCACCCAGAAAAATGGCTATATTTCCACATTTATATTGACTTTGTATGTAATCTATTCATAAAAATACTTCATTTTGCTTCTGGTGTGAACCCAGCAAAAGTCTCTGCAAGCATGACAGTTATATAAAACATTTTCTATAGAATTTAAACTAACCACACTAAGGTAATGTGAAGAATTAACATCCAAAAATACCTGACGCTATATTATTTTCCTTTACTCTCCAAAAGTCACAGCATGAACTCTAAATGAAGAAACAGTCGAGAAAAAAAAACACTGAATTGTGCTCTTACCTGAATGGCAGACAAATATATTAGTTTGGCATCTGTCCTGCAAACCTACTATGAGTGTTTTAAATGCTACAGTTCTGCTAAAAAATTTTTTTTGGCAGCTGCTTTTCCCATAAAATCTGTCCAGTTACAGTCTCAGCTGACATGGAGCGGTAACAGTCAATGGGGAGCCAATAGGAGGCACGGATTTTAAAGCATGGATTAGTGTCATGCTCTTTAAGCTAACAGTTCGAATTGAAATGATGAACAGAATCAAGGTTTCACTTCTCAGAAATGTTCACTCGCTGAGAAAAGTTCAGCTAAAGGAAAAAGAGAAAGAGTCAGAGAATAACAGAAACCACAGAAGAGCTCGTCTTCAATATTCCCCTTCCTCCATAACCTCCATGACAACTGTTCTGGGGCCGGTGAGAATGATGCTGCTGACGGTCCTGTAATCCTGATTCAGCACATTCAATCCATTGACTGCAACCACAAACTGACACACCTGTAGAGAACAGCATGAGAAAAGCACAGTTTCATGTTTAGTCACATTGACTACACCCTTTTTGTACTTTGATAAAGACAAAGTGCTGAAAAACAACATAATGAATATGGAGCATATAAATCACACAGTATATGGCACAATACACAGATTGAAATCTTTTTCACTGCAGTACTTTCATACAATTACATCTTTTGGGAGATTGGTATATTTTAAAACTCTACTAAATTGACTCTCTGAGAAATATTGCTAATGAATAACATAGCCTTTAGCCCTTCCTGGTAAACCCATAATGGAGCTGTCATCTAAAATGAGTCATAGCTACCATTACCGTTATCAACATCAAATGATAAACAAACAACGTTTTTAAAACCCTGCCATTTGGGTTAATTGTCAACATGTGCTTGGAACCTCTGTTTTGGCATCACTTCTACAGTTGTGTGTGCAACACTAGCAGCTGTAATTACACTGTAATATAAATCTGTTATTTTATGTTTTTTTTTTTTTTTTCTGGCAGCTGAGGTGTCAGAAAACAAATAAAAATAAAGGCTGTGTCACAGTCACCCCTGATCTAGCCTATGCAGATCGCTGGAGAACTACAAATCTGCCAGCAAAAGAACTACAAGACCCAGTCATGCACCACTCTCATACCTGGCCTAGATCCTGTCTGATTGCAAACAATCACATCTGAAGCCGCTTATTAACTGATTACATGGACTATAAAGAGAGCACTCACACACACATCTGTGCTGAGTCTTGTTAAACTGTATAGTGAACATTACGACGTGTTTTTCCTTGCCTTTTCCTGCCGTAGTTTTGACCCTTGCCTTGTTTTGTTTGTTTATTCCTGTATGCTGCCTGCCTTTTGACCACTGCCTGTTTACTGACCACGACTCTGGATTGCTCGTGTACATCTGTTTGCTCCTGTGTTGACTGTTGCCTGCCTGACCATTTTCTGCATAATAAACTTGCATTTCGACTGAAGCCCAAGTGAATTGCAGTGAAGTGAAAGTGAAACTGTTTATTTCAACAGAGAGCCAGCGACTCCCAGCAAACTTTGCCTATGTGATCGATAGCGTCTGTAGGTAACAAGGTGGGCGTGTTGAGCGATGCGACAGTTCAGAATCCTTCAAGTTTATGCAAATTAAGAGCAACTTTCTTGAGGAACAGCCAGTTTGAACATTAGTAGAGCTCACATAGCTCCTCTCTCAGCTCCTGCAGAGGCCGGTTGTATCCTCCTTGCTGTAAACTTACTCTATGTACATGGGAACGCCCATTGACAGTTTCAATCGCCACCCAGAGAGCGACAGGCAGCTACAAATTCGCTGCTAGTGTGAATGATACAACAGCCCTCCTTGGTTGGTGGCATCCTGTGACTGAATAATGTAGTGTAAACTCCAGTCCGCCATTTTCAGTCAGCTTTGCCTTTTCTTTAAAGACTTAATAAATAACACAGTGTAAATAAAAATGTTTAAAATGTTAAAACCTTTTTAAACTCTGCTTGGTTTTTATACCAAAGATCTATTTTTATAATGTTTATAACTGTACCTTTTTAAAGTATTTAGTATGTTGATCCTTTGCTCTTCCAGTTTTTTTTGCCCATCTTTTATGACTCAAAATGTTTTGTTTCTCATTTTTATGTTTTGGGGCAAGTAGCTGTGTAATAAGTGGGATAAACTGTTCAAACATTTTCATTAATGGAAAAGTAAATGTTTTCACAGTATGATTTGCTCATTTGGTAAAACGTTTAATAGACATTCATTGTGTTTGCAATAATGTTCATTACAATAAAAAGGAGACACTGGGGGTAGGACTGGTGTAATTTAACAAGTGCAGCATTACAGCTTCTGCTCAAGATTGTCTTTAAATAGCATAATGATTTTGCCGCAGAAACAGGCTGAGCACATACAGTGCACTCACTCTGCAAACATGACCTTATGTAATGAGCATTCAGAAGTAACGCTAAGGGAGTAGTGTTTTTTTACAGTTGCATAATCGTAAAGCTTCATTATGGTATAAATTAGGGTCACAGCAGTTGAATGCAAAACAGATATGACTCCATCTATCACTGCTGTAAATTAGACATACAGTAAAGACACAAAGTTTTTAAGGCCTATTCACCAAGGACAAAATCAGATATTGAGATACTGAGAAATATAATCCTGAATTTAACAACAATAATGATACAGTAACATTACAGAACAACATTATCATTTGTAATTAATTAATTAGAACATTTTTTACAGCTAATGAAGGCTAAAAACATTGAAATCCATCATGTATAATAGCGGTTTTTGCAGATGTTTATCTTTATAAATATTGTTCTTGGTATGAGTGAGGATTTAGCCTGGATCTGAGTAAATGAATAAGACCAACAGACTCAATTTTGAGCTGAATTGAGAGCTAAGGTCAAAGCTAAATGATTGTGAGGGGGTTGGTGTTTATAATCTCTGTCATTTATCTACCTGTATCTCGTAGATTCTAATCTAACATCAACAACATTTTATTGTAAAGCAATATTTTATGGCAAATCTTGACCCTTAGCACTATCTTTTGACAAACACTTTCCCCTTTAAAGCAGGGCTATTCAATTAGTTTGTCATGGGGGCCATTTCATGAAAGCATCCCATATGACAGGCCGAAGAGATATGATTTGCAATGTGAGTGATAACACAACAGCATATAAGAGCCCATATGTTGTATTTGTGCTCCTTAAGACACGCACGTTGGCTTTATCTACATTAAAATGTTAATATTTTGCATTTTGAAACTACATTATATCAGTGCAATAGACTTTTTTTATACAAACATTCAAATGTTGTATTTCAAGCACAACAAAAGCAGTGCATTGCTTAAGTAGGCTTCTTCTACATTTAGACACACATGTTTTGAACAGCATAACAATTGTGAATGCAGTTATAGATATTGGTTATCACGTCATTATACGTCAATTATAGATTTTAGTTGTCACGTCAAGCTTTATATTAGATAAGTATTTAAATGAACTGTTGTTATCATCTGTGTTCATACATACATGATCATTTGTAATAATTTATCAGATATTTCTTTTGTTTACATTGCACAGAAAGTCACGCCCAAATCTCATCGCTATGGCCGATATTTGCGACATGAACTTGGTAAAGTTGGTTTTAGGTTTGATTTTCGCCAGACATTTTTGCACAAATTTTAGGGATCATCTGCAAATTACATCGACAGGACCAAAACGCACAGTAACGCAAAGCAGAAAAAAGTATTGATTAGTATACAGATTCCAGTAAATGGTTAGAGGATTTACTATAGATAACAAGTCTACTGTCCCTCTAACTATACGGTACATACAAAGCAGAGATAGGCAACATTTCTTTTCATAGGCATACAGTGCACAGCAGCTAAAGATAGAGGTAAAGTTGGCTGTATATTCGCACATTCGTTTATTTAGCAGTCTCTGTAGTTTACCATGTTACCTTGACTATTCGTTCGGAATTAGCATTCCACTATGACTTCTAAACAACATTAACACTATTTAATTCATTGTGAACAATGCTGTACTTTGATAGTCATTGAATGCTAATATGATTTCCCTATTTAGAATTAGCAAAGAATACTTCTCTGAAATTACATTATTAAGGAGAATGTCTAAAAATCCGAATATAAAATCAACTTTACCTCTATCAACTAAAGCACCTAAATGAAATTTTCTCACATTTTCCCCTTCATTTATGTATACTCAAATATATAGGAAAAATATTACAGTATTTCACCTAGACGTAAGCTTCTCATTCAAAAGTGTGCTTACATTCCTAGAGACTAAACTAACTTACTACAGCAGAGATTTCCCAATATTTCCATTAATATATGATAGAGGTAAAGTTGGCTTTATATTCGCACGTTGGTTCATTTAGCACTCTCTGTATTGTTTACCATGTTGCATTGAATATTCAATCGGAATTAGCATGCCAGTATGACTTCTAAACTTCTAAACAACATTAACATTATCTAATTCACTGTAAAAAAATGTTGTACTTTGATAGTCATTGACTGCTAGCATAATTTCTCTATTTAGAAGTTGCAAAGAATACTTCTCTGAAATTACATTACTAAGGAGAATGTCCGAATATCTAAATATAAAACCAACTTTACCTCTATGAATCAATCAGCACCACCATATTAGCCAAAGTACAAACGGGGCACTCGAGAAACACCTGATCTCACATTACTCCTAAATTCTCATTGACCAGGCAGGAAGCTTGGGCTCATCAATCTCCGAGCTCAGGGTTCTCTCCCGGGACAGCATGCCAAACCTGCTATCATAGTTGAGAATTATCTAAGTGTGAACTCTTGAAAAAAACTGTATGCAACAAATTAGGAAAAATAATCACTGTAATTCACCAAACTATAATTGTGAAGCTTCACGAACTAATTTCGAGAGGAGCACGTGATATGATTGACTGCAGCTGGCCACCCATCTACATTCATTAGTTAGCCAATCAGATTAATCCAAACTCACTATTAGTAGCCTAGGTAAAACTACTCCCTTATTTTCATTTTCTCCTTTCCTCCTTTACCACAGGGAGCCCTCGAGAACCACCTGATCTCGTCCTCCCCTTACTGCTCTATGGACTAGGCGGAAGCCCTGGGCTAACTATCTCCAAGCTCAGGGTTCTCTTCCGGGACAGCATGCTTAACCTGCTAAGATTTGTCAAACAATGTCTAAGTGTGAACTCTTAAATCTAATTTTAAATGGTGTAGTTCATTTCCAAATACCAGACAGACTTACTACACTTCAGATTTATAAAAAATTTCATTCATATAAATATACAGTACCCTAATATTTTGGAAAATAAAATTACAGTAAATTACCCTAGTGTAATTTTATGGTTTTAAAAGGTGTAGTAAATTCACAGAGGCCTCACTGACTTATTACAGGTGACATTTCACCCCTATATTTATACATGTTTCTACAATACACAAATATTGAGGAAAAATATTTACAGTATATCACCCTACTGTAATTTTATGATTTTAAAGGGTGTAGTACATTCATATAGGCCAGACTGACTTAATACAGGAGAGATTTCACCCATATTTTCTTTCATATTTTTACAGTACACAAATAGTAAAGAAAAATATTTACAGTAATTCACTCTACTGTACTTTTATGCTTTTAAAGAGTGTAGAACATTCATATAGGCTAGACTGACGTACTGCAAGTAAGATTTGACCCTTATTTTCTTTTATATATTTTTACAATACACAAAAAGTTTTGAAAAATATTTACAGTAACAGGGTTACCCTAATGAAGGCAGATTCTTGCTGAAACACGTAGGTTTTTTTAAGATTTAGCCATGTGAATAAAGGCTTTTTAAATTTTCCACATTTTTCGAGTGCCTTGGATTGATTCCTGTTGTTATTTTGAGGGTAATTGTATTGATCAATGAAAGAAGGTTACATTTATCAAGATGACTGAACATGCATAATAAACAATTGAGTAAGAAATGACTCATATTATATGATAAGTATTATTACCTTGAAACATTTTGTGTTTTAAATTATATAATGTTTAACTTTTCTTTAGTATTACATTTTTAAAAATATGAAAGGCTCTATTTAATTTGAAAGGATTTTTTTAATTGTCTGTTTTGAGATTTATATGTTTTAATGAATTACTTTTTGAGTAATTAAGGTAATTTTTAGACAAAATCATTTGAAAAGTAATTTAAAAACAACGTTTAGGATGTAATTAGTAATCAGCAATAAATTACTTTTTTAAAGTAACTTACACTGTATAATATTCATGTTGGATGTTGAGCATAACACTATCAATTAAATAGTTCTGGCTTTTAATACATCAGAATGTGGTCATAATATTGTCCCACTTTAAAAAAAAATGCATAACAAATGTTGTACTGTACCTTCATTCCTGCTGCTGCCGCGGGTCCACCAGGGTCCACGGCCTGAATGTGACAGGGTTTACTTCCCCTCACCACAAAGCCCCAGCCCACTGCATCTCCCACAATCTGAAAACACATACATCCAAGCACATTTACTTATTGAAATGCTTTTAAATTACTTTATCACTTACACTGTGTCCATATTACCACCATGTGAATGCTTGTTTCTTATTTATTATTATTATTATTGATGTATTTTATTATATTTTAATGTAATGAATACAAAAAGTATGCAATTGTGCAATGTCATATATTAGTGTCTGAATCAAACAAAATTTACAAAATGGAATTTAAATACATTGAAATCAAATTAAATGCAATTAAAATAAAGTTTCAAATAATTTTTTATGAGAATACATTCATAATAAAGAAGGATTGTCAAAAAATCATCATGATTCAGCTTAACTTAAGAGTTTTTAATGGCTCCACGGTGATCTTTAAAAGTTCAAGACACCACAGAGTACTTTTTTTTTTTTTTTTAGAAAATTTAACTGATTTGTGTGTGTTGAACTTCATTTAAGACAACATTAGCACATCAATGTCAGCTTTAATTGTGGAAAAAAAATGTTTCTTTTTGAAGCTTTTGTCAGCTAATTTCATCTTCTAGGGTGGTTGATGGTGCGGGTTGAGTTTAGAGCGGGAAGAAGGTGCGCAAACAGAAAAGCGGAGAGTGAGTATGAGGATGCTTGCATGTTGGGTTCGGTGAACATGAGGACTGTACCAAAACGCTGAGGAGGGGGGCAGTGGAATTCCGGGAGTTTTCCGGGAGACAGAACAATACGGGAGAAGGGCGGGAGATGGGTCTAAAATACAGGAGACTCCCGCAAAAAATGAGAGTGTTGGCAGGTATGCCTATATCCGTGCTGCTGTGTTCGTCATTTTTTAAATTCCTCCAGATTACTGGCAGGGCTATATAGATAGGTAAAGAGACCTGCTTCACTGCTTTCCACATTGTCTGCATTCAGACTCGGATTCAGAAGGAGAGAAGTCCTCTTCATTTAGTGTTTATACAAACATGATTATCTTTTTAATGATATAAAAAATAGTGGTTATATATTATATGAAATTACGAACAGCTTATCATATATGTAACATCAAATTAATTACTGTTTATTTCTTTGCATTTTAACTTTGTAAATAAACTATAAAATCATGCATCTCCTCACATTTTGTATCAGACTTTTTTAAATTAAGCTGGTGAGCCCTTCTATTTCCATGTTCTGCAGGCCATGTTCAATCATCCCTCTGCTCAGCGCTCCACGCCCATCTCGGAGCATATTTGGAAAAAATTCTGAGGTACACTTCAACTGAAATAGGGGGTTTCATGACCCTTTAAACGAAGTGGTTTTACATTTTCTGAAAGTTTCTAGTAAAATTAGAATTTTTCTCCGCCTCCTATGTTTATCTTTAGTTATTTCACTTTAAAGGCAATGAAATTACTCTAATCTATGCCATAGAAATGAAATTACTCAACCTACACTGATTACTGAGCCTATAATTAGAGAAAATCAATACTAATACTAATACTAATACTAATACTAATTTTAGAAGAAAAATTCAGATGGCACTTAGAAACTTTTTGCATCTGAACTCTATATTCTACATTCATTTCTAAACATGCCTATATAGATTTTTTGGGGCATATAAACTTTTCATCAACTCAGTTCAGGTTGCCAGTATTGCAGTGATGGTACAATTGGTACAATGGAACTATTTAAGCACAGTTACATTCAACAAAATTTTATGGGTATGACTTAAATATTTGATTTATATATAAACAACACAGACAAATAATAATAAAGTATAACTTAGTGGACACTAGGGATGACACGGTTCTCAATATAATAATGAACCGTTCGGTACGACCTCCACGGTTCAATACGCGCTTGTGAATTGCGGTTTTCTTGGTTTTGCATTTAAATAATTTATGTGTGTTTTATATCTCCCCGAATTGACTGTGTGTGCCTGTAAGTCCAAGAGCTGAGATGAGGAAACTCCTCCCCGCGAGTAAATATCCAATCACTATGCTCTAAAGTTAGAGGGCGATTGACCATCATTCAACACTTTAACATGGCGAGCGGCGGTGAAATGAGGCTGTGGCAACAGTACAAGGAAACGTCGGCGAAGTGATGCAACAGTACAAGAAAGCACCGGCGTCTTTCAAATCTGCGGTGTGAGGACCTTTCGATTTTGCCGGTAAGTATAATGCCAATAAAAAAATAAATGGTGAACAAAAAATAACTGTGTGCAAGCATTGTTTTACACATGTAACCATGACTGCACATCTGCAGCTCCATCACCCAGCAATATCACTGTCTGAAGGCAGGATAGCAGAGAAGGTAATAAAGTCCTCCAAATAGCAACAATCTCTCGCTGAATCTTTCAAGCAAACATACCCAACTGGTTCAGAGAGACACATACAATAACAAAGGCAGTGCAGGTGTTTATTGCTAAAGATTTGCAGCCGTTTTCAGTAATTGGAGATGTGGACTTTTGTCATCTTATAAAAGCACTCATTCCGCGTCACAGACTACAGTCAGATTTTTTCAGCACCGAGATAATTAAGATGGTTTATTTATGTTTACTTAAGTACAAATATGTTTATTTGAAATGGCCAATTTATCTTATTAACTTTACATGTGTGTTGATTTTCAAAATGTAGGATTTTATGTGTTCCCCAGTATGTACATGGGCTACCAGCAGCTGTGAGATTTCAGTGTTAAAATTTTTATACAATACACTAGGAACTAATGTACTTTTCTTGGCTTTTAAGTAAAACAAAATGAATAGTGCAATAAAATCGTTTTTATTTTTTTTTCTCCTTAACCTCTACTTGTTCCTATTGCCGATAGAAAAAAAATCACTTGTCAAGCCATGAGAAACGAACCGAAAACGTGTTAAAAAACCAAGGTATGTAATGAATCGTGGGCTAACTGTATTGTTGCATGTCTAGTGGACACAATTAATTCTTGTTTAATTCTTTTCTTAAATAATATACTTGAAAGCAGAAGACAAGTATCAGAGCTTACGCAATCCTGATTTGCTTCTGGCTTTTCCTGTTGATCCATCTGAGACTTTGAATGCATCTGAGGAACAACTTCCTGTCGCTATTTTTATTTCTGAACATTTTCCTGCCTGTAAATTGATTCTCAGAACCAAACATAGTAAATTATGCAATTAGAGCTTGGAGTCTGTGCACATTTGGCAGCAGTGTGAGTGAATGACTTACTGTGAATGTCTTCTTTATGTAAGGTCCACCAGGAGTCTGAAGTTCCTCTGGACTCACTTGCCTCTTCAGCACTGGAACAAAAACACACAGTGTTCATGAATTCGAGGTCCGTTTTCATGATAGTATAACATCATGTGACTATTTGGCACATGTTACAAAAGAATCAGCTGTGTCCATTCACTGAAACAACACTGGGTCTGATTTATTATTTACTCCACACATTATGCAATACATAATATCCCTCATTTAAAAAGATGTCAAGCTGTAATCGAGCTGTAATGAGCAGTTTGGGTTTAACAAATTATGAGGTTGTGACATCGCTGTGATGGACATAATCAGCACAGAAAAGGTTCTAATCATCTTCAACTCTTCATTACTAATGTAATAAGTGAGCCCCGAACCACTTAATCACAATCTAGAATCGAACTGCAGTTATTGACAAGCTCCTAATTCAGTGCTGAAGGACTCAAGACTCAAACTCGATCTCGAGACCATGGTTTAATTGTCTTGATCCTGTCATGGACTAAGTATTGACTCATATATATTTGGAATAGTCAACTCAAGTTCCATTTAAAATAGTTCATACTAATATTTTTTTTAATTAATGTTTGATTGACATGTCCAATGATTTGGTGAACGGATAGTGATGTTCTTGTTTTGCTATAGAAGTATAAAAGCATAGTTTCTCTCACCAAGCCGCTCTATTTTATATTCTATCTTATTCTATTTCCACCTGCCTGCCATTCGCCTGAAGTGACTCTATAAATAAATAATGCAATGAATATAGATATTACTGCTAAAACTGCTTATACTCAACAAAGCAGCAAAGAAAGAACAGGATGTTTTGTAGAGGAATTAAAAAATGGAAAGGAGAGCTTGGCACTGATAGGCAGCATCTCCTAAGCCATAGCAGTACAGTAATTCTCCTCGGGCAAAGTAGTGACCAAGCTAAAAAATAAATAAAAACTTAAATTATCATTGAGCCTATGACAGCTGAAGCCAGTTCATCTCTGCTGCTTTTAAATAAAAGCTTATGTGCAGAAACAGCATCTTGTCAGTATTTCAATGAACACAAACAATTATATTATGATTAATGGACTTTATCTATGCACAAGGTGTTAAAGTGACAGCGGCTACTGTATTTATGCTGTTACAACCAAACAGCACACACACTTACCCACAAAAGATTTATGTGGATGTGTATGCAAGTATGGACAGATAAACAGACAGTCAAAAAACATGTTGATAAATGCAAAGCCAGTGTATGAGCATATTAATATGATTAAGTTTAATTATTGCTATGTTTAAGGTAAAAAAGTGTCTAGTTTTCCTTAAAGACCATTAAAGTTTCTTGAAGACACTACAAGCCGACAGTCAGTCAAGTTTGTTTAGTATATTCAACATGTTGCATTAAATACAGAGCAATAATACAGAATTGGTATCAACCATTGGTGGAAGAGAGGGCTCTGATCGAAGTCTGAAAACATAACCTGGAGTGATAAAACCAAACATTTCAAGTCAAGAGGGAACACAAAGCAGCCGGCTATAATTTGCAAATGAATGAACTGGTAAAAAAAAAAAAAAAAACAGTTCATGGGTTTTTTTATGCTACAACATAGTGACGCCATCCACAATGACGTAATGACAATCCTCTCATGTTAGGACTCATCCATTCATTCATTTTCTTGTCAGCTTAGTCCCTTTATTAATCTGAGGTCGCACAGCGGAATGAACTGCCAACTTATCCAGCACGTTTTTACGCAGCAGATGCCCTTCCAGCCGCAAACCATCTCTGGGAAAATGTTTGGACTCAAAATTCCAAAAATATATAGGCAGCAATCATAATTTAAGTCACTTATCCATGATCTGGAAATTTCTTACTATTAAATTTTGCAACCCAAATGAAGCATGATTCACTTAGGCCCAATCCCAATTCTACCCTTTAGCCCTTCCCTTTCACGTGAACGTGCAAAACGAGGCATAGGGGTGTCCCAATTCTCTTTAGCCTGAAGGTGTAGGGCTAAAGAGAAGGGCTACATTTAGCCCTTGAAACTGAGATTTTTCAGGACCACACTCAAAACAAAATAGTAAGAAAATTCCCCGAATACATAATCTACAATGGCAACATGATTGCACACGGAGGTCAGGAGATAAGTTATGAATTTTTACAACAAACAAGCACATGTTTTAATACATTCATGGGCCTTACTATTTAATTTCCATTATTATTTTCTGTTTCAATTTCCTGTTATTTGGTTCTTAATTCTGATCACAGTGCACTGTTTTAGCTAGTGGATGACTCAGGAAATTGTTTTATTTTGAGTCAGAATGGTAAAAAAGTGGTATCAATTTAATGGTCCCTTTAGTGCATTTTGTTGAATTTAAGTTACATTAAATTTACATGCCAACTAACTCTCATTAGATTATAAGTAGACTGTTAGGTTGGGGTTAGGGTTAGTATAAGTTGACATGTGCTTGCAAAGATACTTATAGTCAGTTAAATGTCAAAAGGAGCAGTATCAGCAGATATTAAGCAGGCAGTCTACTAATACTCAAATGAGAATTAATTGGCATGTAGTTGCAATAAAGCTTTTAGTCAAGAAAATGTGTAATAGGGACCATCAAAATAAAGTCTTACTAAAAAGTGAGCAATCTGTACTTAAGTGCTTACTGGAGACACAAACCATTTCAAAAGATTCACTTCGATTTGGAGAACTGGTTCAACCGGTTCAATTAGAAGATTTTCTTAAAAAGAACAATTTATTCATAATCAGCCATCACTAGAGGGAATTCCTCTGTGGTAAGTGGCAAGTGAAAGTCCTGTGAAAATGGCACTAAATACTGCTTTGTTTACAGTTTTTGAGTGTGCCTCAAGTTCAACAGGCTACAGCCCCCTGCAAGTTTGGAAAGACACATCTTCTTTTGCAGGCACAGAACATATACTCTCATTTCAGTCAGCTGCTGACTGTTTAGTGTTTTCATTTGCAGCTTTTGGGTCTATACGAGACCAGACATGAGATTACAACACAGCCAGTTTTTGTCTGTGCTAGTTATTTAGCATCAGCATGGGGTGTCCCAGCTTTAACACTGCTTGTGCCACACAACAACCCTGGCTCCCACAGCAAAGATAAGCACATTGACCCAAACCAAACCATGACTTTACCAAGAACCGAACCGTGGCTTTACAATGTGTGAACAATAAACCCCTAGTTGTAATCTTTCTAAGCTGTTCTATATTTTTTAACACTTTGTTTTCCACAACATAAGAGTTTGTTTTTTTAAATCATATGGCTGCCTGTTCTATTCGCATGACTAATTCCAAATCAAGATAAAAAAAAAATTCTACATATGTTCCAAACAAACACATTTCATGTTTTTTCCCACAGGTGATTTTAAAATCTGAACCTCACATGATGCACATGCGAGGCACATGTGATTTTTCTAGGTGTATATCATATAGGAAGCACGTGACTATATTATTCCAACTTAAAGAGCTTTGCCAATTATTCTTCTAAACGTGCCTGAAATCTTTCACATGCACACACACACACACACACACACACACACACACACACACACACACACACACACACACACGCACACACATACTACATTCTTTTGTAGTGTGAGAGAAAACAGGACAGGCTGAATAAATGTACTAGCAGATGCATCAGGTCTCTCTCACATTCCCTCTCACTCAGTTCATTTTTTGGTCATATATTTTGGGAGGCAAACTCAGAAATCTCAGGATTGGATGAGCAAACAGACCAACCAGAGGCAAGCCAAAGCACTGCCAAACCCAAAGCATGTTTGTCTCAGGTGTTTTATATCAAAACACACACAATAAAACAAACACGTCAGGAAGAACAGCCAATTTACCTCACAAAATCCAAGTTGCACAACATGTTCTAATGTTTAAAGCTCTGTTGACAGACAAAAAAACAGGTCTGGTATTTACAGTGGACCTCGCCATGCTGTGGTGGAGCGAAAGCTGAGTCATGTGGTAGGTGTGGAAGTTTTCGTGCTTCAAGCTTGCACTAGATCACCACAGAAGCTGATGTTCTCATTTGGTGGTGGAGGAGGATGAGGAGTGTGTATAAAATGTTCCTCTGTCTCTCTGCCTGCTGGCTGTGCTCCTTGCCTTTCCTGAAGGGGACTAAGTGTTCTTGTCAGACAGTCTCTCACACACTACACATGTGCTGCTACATTACCAAATTCTTAGCCGGAGAGTTTTATGGGTCAGAGAGTTTGCTAGTCCACACAAAGACACTGAGAAGGTAGATGGAGTTGAATAGAACAAATGACTATATACAGACATGTATTGATGACTTTAAATTTTAAAGAAATGTGTTTTGTGTATAATTTTTAGTAAAAGGAATAGTGTCATCTAGGATAGATTATTACAGTACAGTCTGTACAGACTGTACAGTGCATTCGGAATTCATGAGATTTACACATGTAATGATATTCAATTCCAAATCCCAAAAAAAGCCACAATACTCTAAAAACATAGCAAAGAACCATACCTAACTGAATCGTGCATTGCTTCCACATTGTCAATGGTCTTAAACTAAATTCTTGGAGGGCCGCTGCTCTGCACAGTTTAGCTCCAAACACCTTCAACTCACACCTGCTTAATTGTTTCTAGTAGATTTGAACACCTTGATTATTTGGATCAGCTGTGTTTGATTATGGCTGGAGCAAAACTGTGCAGAGCTGGGGCCCTTCAGGAATCAAGGTTGACACCTATGATATTGTGAACAAAAAATGATCCGTGTTATTGGTATATTGCCAGATCATTAAAAAGAAGAATTAGCCACCAATTCCTTGAAATGTATAATAGTAACCAAATTAAATCCTATTTCAAAGTACTGTACAGTCTAGCAGGGTTGGGCAAACTTGATCCTAGAAGGCCAGTGTCCTTAGTTTTGCTCCAACCCTAATCAAACACACCTGCCTGTAGCTTTCTAGTGACCTTGAAGCCACTGATTAGTGTTCAGCTGTGTTTGATTAGTGTTGGAACAAAACTCTGCAGGGACACCGGCCCTCAGGATCAAGTTTGCTCATTCCT